ATGTTGAGACTTCGGTCCCTCAAATCAGCACAAAAGCAAATCGCAAGTTAGCAAGTCAAACTCGAAGCTCGGCACTATTAGGTCGGCTCGAAGTCACCAATTGGCCAACACGCAACAAAAAATGAAAAATGCAGAAGTGAGAGAGACAGAGAAAAAACACAACAGTATTTTAAGGTAAAAAAACCCCTTCAGTGTGAAGAAGTAAAAACCACGGGACTCTAGTCCCAAAAATCTTTCACTATGAAAAAAAAAAATTACAAGAGTCAAGCTTCCCTAGTTACACTAGAGCTACAATCAAGTTTCACCAAGAATGGTGATAATCTCAAACATCTCTAAAGAGCATACACTCAAACTTCTCTCCAGGTACTCTCAAATTCTAAGTTCTAAGCTTCAAAATCTCTAATCTAAATTACAATGGTCTTCAAGTGTATATATAAAGAAAGGAGAACCTTCCACCTTCTTCTAGAATCTTCTTCAATCATTATGGTGGTTGAGGTGGTTGGGCAGGCATTGACCCCTGTACCAATAAATGTTGTGCATGCCAACATAAATGGAGGAACCATCCCAAAAAATCTCCTCCTTCCGACTTCAACGTGTGTTCAACAGCAGCTTGACACCTTCACAACAGTCTTCGAAATTTCTTGCTGGCACCGACTTGTGCATCATGTTGGACCAATTGAGGTCAGTGTGCACTTTGACAAGTTCGAACTATTCATCCTCCACCACATCCTGAATCCAGTGATACCTCACACCAATGTGTTTAGTGCGGGAGGATAGGTCGAATTCTTCGCTAAATGAATAGCGCTTTGGTTATCACACTTCAGCTCGTACTTGTCTTGATCATTGCCGAGTTCCAGAAGGAACTTCTTCATCCATATCATCTCTTTACAAGCCTCAGTCGCGGCTATGTATTCGACATCGACCGTCAAAACTGCCAATATTTCTGCAATTTTGATTGCCAGGAGACAGCTCCTCCTGAAAAAGTCATTAAATATCATGTGGTCGACTTCCTAGAGTCGACATCTCCACCTAAGTCAGGATTTGTAAAGCCTTGCAGCTCAGCCTTACTTTCTTCAAAGCAAAGGCATAAACTTGTCGTTCCTTGGAAATACTTGAAGATCTACTTGATGGCTTCTCAATGCTCTTTGTCGGGGTTCGACAGATATTGGCTCACCATTCCAACAGCATACACCAAATCAGGTCTCGTACGTATGATAACATACATCAAACTTTCGATGGTTGAGTGGTACGAGATCTTCAGCATCTCTTCTTTCTCTACATAAGACCTCAGACATTTCTTTTGGCTCAGCTTTAGGTGTCAGAGTAAGGGGGTGCTTACTGTCTTGGCTTTTTCCATGCTAAATCTCTTCAAAATCTTTTCGATGTATTTTTCTTGACTTAATCACAGCAGTTTTCTTTGTCGGTCTCTAATAATTTTGATTCCAAAGATTTGTTTTGCAAAACCAAGGTGCTTCATTACGAAGAACGAGCACAATGCCTTCTTCAGGGTAGCTATTCTCGATTTGTCTTGCCCTACAATTAACATGTTGTCAGCAGCCTTTATCTCGGCTTTAGACAATTGATTTACAATACCTTTGTAAGTGTTGAGGTGTTCAATCATACTCATGTCGTCCTTGTATTCCAGTTTCACAAGTCGGCAAACCAGGTGTGCCTTGTTCCTGGGAGTCTTCTTCTGAATCATGGACTCCAGTTTCATCCATAATTTGTACGCATTTGCAAACTCGGACACGTGTTCAAAGAGGCTTTTGTCAATGTACTTCTTGATCACGGTCACGACCTTTCGATTCAGGATTTCTCATTCCTTCTCAATTTTTCCTTCATGCATCTCTTCATGGACGATGGGCTCATATATGTCTTTGCAGTACATATGGTCTTTCATCATAGGTCTCCAGTATGTAAAGTTATCCTAATCAGCTTGAACATATCTCTGTCATGGGCAACACCATTCGTCTCCATCTCGTCTCCCTCAGGACTCTTCGAACTCGGGCTCTGATACCACTGTTGAGACGTCGGTCCCTCAAATCAACACAGAAGAGAATCACAAGTCGTCAAGTCGAGCTCGGAGCTCGGCACTTCACGGCTGGCTTAAAGTCACTAGGTCGGCCAACACTCAGCAGAAAGTGAAAAAATGCAGAAGTGAGAGAGACAAAGAAGAACACAACAGTCTTTTAACGAGGAAAATCTCTTTCGGTGTGAAGAAGTAAAAACCACGGGTGACTGGTCTAGAAAATCTTTCACTATGAAAAAGAGAGATTAGAAGAGTCAAACTTCCCTAATTACACTAAAGGTACAATCAAGTTTCACCAAGAATGGTGGTGATCTCAAACGTCTCTAAAGAGATCACACTCAAACTTCTCTCCAGAGATACTATCAAATTCTAAGCTTCCAAATCTCTAATCTAAATTACAATGGTCTTTAAGTGTATAAATAAGGTGAGGAGAACCCTCTACCTTCTTCTAGAATCTTCTTCAATCATTATAGTGGTTGAGGTGATTGGACAGACATTGAGCCATGCACCAATAAATGTGGTGCATGCCAGCATTAATGAAGGAACCTCTCCAACAAAGGAATTGCTTCATGACCGCAATTTTGTGAAGTGACTATCGTTATTTAATTGTCATTATTAGTATGTGGACAAAGATGGATTTTATGAAAATTAATATAATAACGCAGATAAATTAACCAAAAAGTTCCATGCAACAACAGCAGAGAATTAGTACAAGTTGATGATATACTTCTCCAACCCCCCTAGTGAACTAAAATTTTTAAATTAGTGGGTCGTCATGTAAATAAATGCAGCAATATTTCTCCAAACTATATTTCATTGTATGTTCCCCAAAAAAAAAATCTCCACACTATCAAAATCAGTGTTTTAAAACTCGGCTCGATCATCAACTCGATCGAGGTACTAAGGGTGCGCATGACAACCTTCCCGGAATCATTTTTTTTTTAATTTCTGCTCTCGGGAACAGAAATGGATAGAAAACTCGTTTGGTAAAATCGGTTTATTTTTTTGTTCCCGGGATGAATCGGTTTAATTTTTGTGCTGGGGAACAGAAAAAAAAAATCAAAAAAATTCTGTTTTTTTGTTCCAAGGCACAATGAGAAACAATTATCTCTCTCAATTACTCTCCACCACTACCATCATCACCACCGCCACCATCATCCCGACACGACCATTGCCACCATCGTTGTACCACCACCGCCACTACCATCACTGTCACCATCATTATCACTACCACCACCACCACGCCACCACTGCTACTGTCATCGTTGCCGCCGCCACCACCATTACCGCCACCACTACATCGCCGCCATCGCTGCCACCAAGTCATCACAATCACTATCGCCGCAGCCACTGTTGTCACCATCACCACCGCCGCCAACATGTCATCATCATCACCATCGTCGCAGCCACTACTGTCACCACCACCACCACTACCGTCGTCGCCGCCGCCATTATGCCACCGTTACCACCACTACACCATCGCCATTTCATCACTATCACCACCACTACTGCCACCACCACCATCGTTGCGGCCACTGCTGTCACCACCGCCACCTTTACGTCACAACCATCACCACCACTACCATCACCATCATCACTATTATCACTACCACAATCACCAACCACCACCACCATCATTGTAGCCACTGCCACCATCACCACGACGCCACCACTACTAGCGTTATCGCCATTATCGCCACCACTACACCACCGCCATATGTCATCACGATCACCATTGTCGCAGCCGCTACTGTCACCACCGCTGCTGCCGCCATATCATCATCATCACCATTGTCGCAGTTATTGCCATCACCACCACCATTACCGTCGCCGCCGCCGCCACTATGCCACCGTTACCACCACTACACCACCGCCACCGCCACCACCATGTCATCACCATCACCACCACCACCACCCTCGCCACCATTATCACCACCATCGCTGCGGCCACTGGTATCACCACCGCCACCACTACCATCACCATCACCACCATTATCATTACCACCACCACCACCATCGTTGTAGCCACTACCATGCCATCACCATTGCTACCATTACTGCCACCGCCATACTATCACCTCTACCACCACCACCACCACAACGCCACTACTACAACTACAACCACCACCATCGCCACCATTAACATTGTCGTCGTTGCCGCCACCACCACCACCACCACACCATATGAAAAGGAAAGTGATTATCCGAAAAAAAATTATACTTAATAAGAATATTTTTTTATTCTATTATTTGTTATGTTATCAAACACAATTCTCATTCTCAGAATAAAAATAAAACATATTACCAAACACATTTTTTTTCTCAGAAACTGTTCCAAGGCACAGAAATAGAAAATAATTATTTCTTTTCAGAAATAGTGCCACGAAATAGAATGGTTGTCATGCACAACCTAAATCACTAGATCAGTAGTTCAACCAGATTTCAAAATAATATATAATAAATATTAAGTTATGAACATTATGTCCAACAAATAAAAGTGATCCAATAGCAAGCCTTCTGATCCTCAAACAAGGGGACTCGAGTTCGAATCTCTTTGCTTGCACAATGTATATATTTTAAACAATTTAACATAAAACTGGTTAAACCTGATTTTGGTACTGGTTCAACACTGGTTGAACCATGAGTCATGACCGGTTCATCGAAATGATACCGGTTCGACTACAAGGCCAATCCAATGCCCAACTCGAACTGATAAGGGCACCGGGTCACCGAAACCCGGGTCGACCCGACTGGTCCAAGCCGGATTTTAAAACACTCATCAAAATCATGATTCACGGGTAAGGAAACTTGGTGGCATAGAATTCATTTGTCACATTAAATTTTAAACGTCTAAAAAAAAAATCCAATAAAAGATGTATCAGGAACACTTTAACCATAGTCATAATTGCAGCAGTGAAATAAAATCTTCGTCATTGGCTTGCATCTCGCTAGCAATCAATTAAAGGGGCTCTAACATGCATTATATGTACATAAAATAGATAAAAGACAAGATCTAAATGCTTATTGTTCCAGAAGATTTCAATAGGAGTGACAATAAATATATGCACAGGATCATCTGGCTATTTTATCTTCTAGTAGGATATCTATAACTTGAAAAGAAAAAAAATAAGAAAAATAATCAACAGATGTTTTTTTTGGATGAGGAACAAAACAAAAGCAGCAGAGCCAGGCCAAAATTCTGGAAGGCTCCATTCCTTTCAAAATCCACCATCCCACATGTAAGAAAAATAACTTTAAAAAACCTATATTTCATTTTACAAACAAAATGGCTCAGCAGCGACCCCTGGGATGGTGAAAAGATTGGCAAAACTACAAACATGCAGGCTTCAGCAGATAGAGGCAGCAATGCGGGGAAAACATGTCAGCAAAAGAAAAACTCTCACATGAAGTAGCTGAGTGCTTTCTTTATTCTTGAACCACCTTCGCCATATAGTTCGTTCCACTGTAAAAGCTCAGTCATATTTACTGATTCAGAGGAAACACTTGCACATACCTGCTTCAATATAATGCACAAAGTAATTTATTACTCTCAAATTTTTTTGAAAAATTCCAGGCCCGAAAGGACAGGGGGAAGAAGGCTAGCTTAAAAGCGGCTTCCATTCGTACCTGTTGATGAGCATATTTAAAGTCTTCCATGTTTAAAGATCGGATGTCCCCACTGCCACATAATGCTGGAGCAGGTCGACCTTCTGCTAGAGCAAGAACACGTTCCTGTAATGCATCAAAACACATTGGATCAAGGTTTCTTTAAGCTTCCAGGTAGCAGGCATTAGCTCCTATCAACTATAAATCCATATTTCCCGTAAGGATACTAGAATTTCCCCTTCATTAAAGTACTGATGAGCAGATATGTTAAACCCTGATTGAATTACAACAAGAGACTTAAAGAGAGAATTCTGCTTGGTTTATGGTTTCCCCTTTTATAGAAAAGTTAATGCTCAGCTCCCAAGTGATAATTGTAAAGAACCAATTCAACCCAAAAGCTTAAGCTAGTGGGTAAGGTTACATTAATAGTTTTATATATTTCTAACACACTCCTTCGTAAGAGATCCCATTGGGCTTGAAAGGTGAATGATACATCAGGCCCAGCTTACCTGTGCTAAGAAATTCCACAAAGAAAATAGGAGGCGGCGAGAATCGAACCCGGAACACCGAGGCTCTAATACCATGTAAAGAACCAATTCAACCCAAAAGCTAAGCTAGTGGGTGAGGTTACATTAATGGTTTTAAATATCTCTAACAATAACAAACCTGAATCCCCTCTTTTATCCTCTCCTCCTATTTGAGCTAATTCCCTATCTCTACAACTTTAACCGCCTAACTATACTAAATAACTACTCTTCGGCCATATCAATATCCCTTTGAAGTTCAACCTTGTCCTCAAGGTTAGAATCAGAAAACTATAAATGAATTAGATGTACACCCTCCCAATTAACGTCCTGGGTGAGAATGAGATAACCAGTTGATGAGAGCCTAATCACCCTGGTGAGCAAATGACTGAAATCCCAGCACGCGTTTGTGGTTGAGATGGCGGAGGATCACCTTCCAAATCAAATAGGAACATGGGTCCCACTGGGCATGCCACTAATGCTTTCTTCAGCTAAATGAAGCTGGAAGGCAACTGTAACCATCTGCTGGAGGATTAAATCTGGCTAATTTCCTATTTTAGCATTGTAGTGCTTTTCCCCATAAACTTGAGCTGAGCCCATTAAGTCCAAAAGTGAGTCTGGTTGGCAAAACTTCCAATTTACCCCTCCTACATGAACCCAATTACTAAGATCAATTTGGACCTGGCACATTAGATAAAAACCAGAACCACTTTGCAGAATTCCGGTTCAGTCTCTACTTTCTCCTCCTGAACCAAATCATCTACTATACAGTCTACTGGCATACCTCTCTGGTGCACACCCATGGAGGCTCACTCAAGATCGACCCAGCGCTCACTACATGTGAGCTTGACTCCAAAAGCTCTGGTGGTGGTGGGGTTGCAGGAGGATTTCGTATAACTCAAGTCTCCCTTGCCTCTGTTCCGCCAGTGCTCTCGATCGTATTGTCTCCTCTACGACGAACCACTCTAGTGCACACCCATGGCAGCTCTAGAATGACACATTGCTTGCTACATGTGAACTTGAATCCAACGGCTCTGGTGATGGTGGGGTCGCAGGTGGACTTTGTGTAACTCGAGTCTGCGTGACTGCTGTTGCAAACTCCTGACTCGGTTCCACCATTGTGTTGTTAGTCGTGCACCCATTCAAGTTCTGCAATAGAGGCTCGATCAACAAGTTTGAATTCCAAGGCAATGTCAATAGTACACACATCAATGAACGAATCTGGGTCGAGTGATTTAGGTGGAAATTTTTGTTTCTCTTTTGTAATCATCTCAGACAAAACTGAATTCTAGAAACCATGAACCCATTGTTGCGTCTCTATCTTTGTCTTAATCCTCAATCTTCTTTATTACATTTCGGCCTCAAGCATCTCTACCACTAGGTTGTGCTTGGATTCTATCTCCGTATCTAATTATGGTTTTGTATAGGTTCTTCTGACAACTTTGGTACACCTTGAAGGATTTTTCCGGCCCGCAACCATCCGAAAAGATCATGACCATCGAATTGGGCAATTCAATCTAATGCGCCTAAGAACATGTTGTGTCACTGCCACACTCAGACCCACTTCCATCAGAGTTCTCCTCCACCCTCTTGGTCACATGCTACACCTCATTTCCCTCATAGGCTCATTTGTTCTTGACATCCTCAAGAACGACCACCTACTTTTGCATCCACTTATCCAACATATGCTTGATCTTCCTATCCCTTTAATACTCTTCTTGGTTTGATTAGTTCATGCCTCCATCCCTTCCTCAAAATCGAATCCATGTGTCTCCATTAACCGATGCAGCATTTACCTAAGCTCAGAAACACTAGAATCCCATGAACAAGGTTGTGATCTAGAATCTCTGTTTTCTCATCTCTCACTAAAAATTCAATTCGTTTCTCGGTTCCTAAATATCCGTCCAACATGTGTAATCTATAGTGCTAATTGAATTACAAATAGAGACTTAAGGTGAGAATTCTTCTTCCAAGGGTTTTCCCTTCTCAAAGGGTTTCTCCTTTCTATAACAGAGCTAATAATCAGTTCCTATAAATGATAACAAATCTGAATCTGGGATACTGACCAAAATGCCACTGTTCACCAATTTTTTTACCTAAATGTCACGCTAACAGTGTTATTTCCCAATCTGCCACGGGGCAAGTTCGCTTCTGACACAAGCGACCTCGGTTTGATGACGTGTCACATTTTTAGTGGATAACAAGTATTAAATTTAAAAAAAAAATTCAAAAAAAATGAAGTTCGCCTACCATGTAGGCGAACTTGGTTAAAATATTGTTGGAACCGAGGTCGCCTGTGTCAGAAGCGAACTCTGACACCACCAGGAAGCTGACACATCAGCAAACCGAGGTCGCTTGTGTCAGAAGCGAACTTGCCTCGTGGCAGATTGAAAAATAACACTATTCGCGTGGCATTTAGGTAAAAAAGTTGGTAAACAGTGGCACAATGGTCACTGTTCCTCTGAATCTCCACTCTTCTACCCACTGCTACTATTTAAGCTTATTCCCTACCTCTTCTATTTTAACCTCTTAACTATTCTAACTAACTATTCTGTAGCCCTATCACCATCAAGAAAAAGAGAATTCTCCAGGTCTATTGCATTGCCTCAACTAAGGTCATACTTTAACTTGGTGTTCAGAGCAAAATTTTCACCACGTTCAAATAGCCTGTAGACTTTATGGAATGATTCATGCATTCATCCCAACTGTAACTTTACCATCAAAATCATAGACAAAACCATAGAAATACCAAGCACAACAATAATACAACATACAGAAGAGTCATACCTTTTTTTCCTTTTCTAATATCTCTTTAATTGGACGGTGTGCAGCAGTTACACACAAATTCTGCATTATAAGAGCAAGCATCAAATACTGACCAAAAATATTAACACTAATTTTAAAAGTATAGGATAACAGGAAAAAGGACACCAGCAACCTTAAGATCACTTCCAGAATATCCATCAGTCATGCTTGCAACTGCATCCAAATCAACATCACAAGACAATTCCTCCTTTGCCAGTATGACTTTCAATATTTTTCCTCTATTAGGAGCATCTGGCAAATTCACCATCAATCTGCAGGAAAGCAAAGATTACAAAAACATGAACAAATGCTATGGTTCACAAACAACCCCTCCTCCCCCCCCCCCCCCCCCCCCCCCCCACAACAGTCTTTGCAAAACAATAGGAACGTGGAATTAAAGCACAGTTGAACAAGGCATTCACCTTCGGGGCAGCCTCCTTACAACAGCTTCATCTAGGTCAAAAGGCCTGTTAGTGGCTGCAAGCACAAGAACTCGCTCAGTATCCTTTGTCCGTAAGCCATCCCAATTCACCATGAATTCATTTTTCATCTTTCGCATGGCCTCATGCTCCCCTGGATTTTCCCTCCGACCCAACATGCTGTCAACCTGAAATGAAGGTAGTGAAGTTATATTGGATGAATCAATACAAACCAATACCACTTTATTTAAAAGGCTTACTTCGTCAACGAATATAACACTAGGAGCAATTTTACTCGCCAGAGAGAAAACAGCTTTCACGTATTTCTCACCCTCACCAAACCACTGAAGCAAAAAAGGGAAAGAATATGAATCGATATGCACAACAAACTGATAAATGTGAAATCAAGTGAGGCATAAATTTAACCTTAGACGTAATGCTTGACATGGAAATGTTGATGAAGTTTGCACCTGCTTCGGTAGCAATTGCTTTTGCAAGCATTGTTTTACCTGTTCCAGGGGGACCAAACAATAGGATACCCTTGCATGGCTGCACAAAAGGTAATTCACAGTCTGACATCAGAATGGATTATATTTTGACAAAGATTCATTTAGATGATAACCAAAACTTTTCATATTAATCTATTAATTGTTACTTTTATCGCAAAATAATAGTTCAACGATTATGGAAATATAACTCCAAAATTTCCCCTAAACATTTTCTGGAAACCAATAGCCTATCAGAGATTCTTTTAGCTTTCATGGTTTTACGGCAGATTCCAAAACAACAAATTAGTTGAATATCTTGCAGAGGTCAATATCACACATAAAGGCAACAAATCCCCAGATGCCAAGTAGTTCAATCCAACAGGATTGAAGAAAACATGGTCAGCTGGTTCTTCCTTTTTTCCCTCGCTTTTCAGGTGGGGACAGAGGGAGATCAACAAGACAACAACTCAACATAATAGTAAAAAGGCATGCAATTAAAAGAATGGTAGAGGGACCTATCTCACAAACTGTCATCCAACATAAAGAGCAGAAATGAAAACCTATTAAACCGGGAAAAAAATGAAATTCAATCTGTAAAGGAAGTAAAACCTTGGTTAATTGCCCCTTGCAAAACAGCTCAGGCCTCTGTAAAGGAAGCATCACCAACTCCTTCAGTGTATCCTTGACATTTTCAAGAGCTCCAATATCATCAAAAGTAACATCAATGTCACTAGGTGGAATAACATCAGCCAAAAGCCTCTTTTCAAACTCATTTTCTGTTACAACATCCTGATTTCAGACAATACAGCAAGCAAGGTGATTAAGAACACAGTGTTAATCAAAGAAGTTGGTTAAACTCTCCCAACAGAATAAATTAAAGGGAGCAAAGCTAGAACAAACTTCTAAATGGAAGAAGAACATAACAATCACCTTAAGAGACTTCTTCAGACTCTTGGACTCATTCTGGATAGACTGCAAGATTCCAATTCCATACTGGATGCTGGAGGAATAACATAATGACATCACCATTGTAAAATTACAATTAACAGGCAGTGCAAGCTAGCAATTACCTCTCACTCGACAATACAAGTTTTGAATCAGGATCAGCTTCAGAATTCTGCATGAGGTGGTGGCTTAAAGCCCACCCAACTATCTTCTCTGAAACTGCAATGTAACAAACATGATATAGGAGAGATTTGAATTGAAAATCCAAAAGCACTTAATGGTTGAACATACTTTCATTTGTAAGTGTCTGATCCTTAATGCACAAGGTCTCAAGTCCTTCACATTCCATTCCACAACGGCCCAAAACCTATCAATAAAATTTGATTGACTGTAATTACTGTAAATTAAGAACATTACAACTGCAACTGTAAACCATCAAATATTTATACCATTACACAGTTCAACATTTGTGTCAAGTAATCCTATTATGCACCATTTTCCAAACAAAATAATAGACTTTAAAGAGCTTTGGACTTTCAAATGAATTCATAAAAAATGAACCTCTGGAGATTAGCAGAGTTAGAAATTTATTGAAGGACTTACATCAAAACACACCAAATGAATCAAGGTTCCAAATACTAACTCACTACCTTCTCAGTCTCTTAAAATTCCACAAAAACGAAAGTTACAAGTAAAATCTCAGCCTTGAATACGAATGGGTAATTAAGCAAAATGGAGAGATGACAAAGAGAAGGTAAAGCCGCTCAAAAAACAAAATCCCCAAACCCACCCAAACATCCTTCCAAAAAGATATGAGAACACCATCATTGAAACCTTAAAAACGTACACTCATATAACAGGGTTGAGATCTTACCTAGCATTGAGATCGCACGTGGATCATAAGATTCTATTTAAAATATAAAACTATATTCAAACACTCGCGCATGCGCACACACATATATGTATATATTGGCATTAATACTTACCGGTAACATAAACAATTGAAATAACCCTAAAATTACAATTTAAGAAAGGAAGAGGTCAGCCAAAAATAATTTGACAAAACTTAATGAAGTGAAAATAAATAGGCATGTAGTTTGTCTCGGGACGGAGTGGTGGAAAGATATTAACATTGTGGAGGGGACTTTTTCCAATGTTTTTATATATGGGATAGGAATACAATCATTTTACACCTATATAAGTTATACTATCAATCTTAGTTGTTCATTCCACTTGCATCTAATGGTTCACTTAACTAATATATTAAAGTCGTTAGATTAAAGTAGATCAACGCTTTAAGATTAGTTAAAAGACTTATTATTCTTACCAGTATGAAATAATTCTACCCATATATATATATATATATATATATATATATATATATTATTTTTCTTATCGATTGTATTTTCTCTCTATCTATTATTGATTTTACAAGAATAAGGTTGTGTACAAGGATTACCTCACCCCTACCCTCGCTAGTTGAGGTTTAATAGGGAGTGCATTTTTATCTATTCTTGCTTTTATTTGGGTTCATCAACTTCCGATCCCAATTAGTTTGAGATAAAGGTGATGTTAATGTTAACATGAAACTAAAACACAAAAGGAAAATGCCCGACTAGTAAATATCTGGATATTTTCATACCTCAAAAACACAAAACAGAGCCTGAAAACCATTAGGCCATCGAACAAAAGAGAGCACACGTGCAAATACAAACCACCAAGTAGCCACCCAGCCAGAAACAGAAGCAAATAAAAGCAAAAATAGGAATCAGGGAAAAGAACAAACCACCACCTGCCCTCTCTCTCAACCTGACCCACTCTATCAACCGTCACCCCGTAAGCCACAGATCAAAGCTCAAGGAGTGCAAACAGGTAGTAGGGAAGGGTCGAATGAATGACAGAAGAGTTTGTAGGGATTGGGTCTTAAGATTTTGTATGGGCTCGAGTTTTATTTTTCAGAATAGGTGGCTAGGCAAACATAATTGGGTCATCCATTCCCAACAATCCATCACTCAGTCATGGTGACCCCAGACAATCACACCAAATCGTGTTTTTAGGTATGACCAGGATCATAAAAGCACAGTCATATGATTTAACATGCAATCTTGACTACCATACATGGGCAAGCATAACTCGCATTGACTATTCGATTGGCATCCCATCCATTCAGATCTAAATCTACTAACTTTGAATTACTTGGTATCATAATGAAATAATCTATACAAGGAAAGTGCTATATAGCCTCTGTAACGACCTTTACTTAGGGGCATTTATTATTGCCCAAGATAGATAGTCACTGTCATGTAAAGGTAGTTAGACTTGTTAGTTAGGTAGTTAGATGTTTATGGCCTTTTGAGAGAAGCTTAGATACTATATAAGTGAGATAGCCCTCCTTTAAGAGAAGAGTTGAAAAGAAAGAACTTGAAAAGTAGAATTGTATTATGTGAAAATCGTGTATTACAATTGTATAAAAGCTCTCTATTTAAAGAGACTAAATGACCTAATGGGCTAAGCCCAAAGATTCTAGAATACAACTCTATTTAAAATAAAATAATATTATTATTTACAACACTACCCCTCAAACTGAGAAATAGATATTTGTCATTCCCAGCTTACTAGTAAGTTCTTGAAACCTATCATTAAGAAGATCCTTGTCAAGACATCAGCTAGTTGACAACCAGAAGGAATATATGAAGTAGTGATCAGTCAACTGTCTAGTTTCTCTTTGATGAAGTGGCGCTCAATCTCAATATATTTGGTTCGACCGTGTTGGACAGGATTGTGGGCTATATAGATAGCTGACCTATTATCATAGAGTAACTTCATAGATTGATAAGACTCCTATTAAGGTGTATTGTAGAAAACGTCATAGGGGATTAATTCCCACTGCTGAGTCAGAGGAAAGAAGGCAGAATGCAGGTGTGAATGCTGAGAGCAATTCGGTTAGTGTGGGCCAGGCTGCTGACGTGGAGGGGTGTGCTCTTCAGGTGTGAGTACATAAACAGAGCAATGGAAGGATAATGGAGGCTGGAAAATTGGGAGTTCTTGGGAGAGATCAGTGCCTCTATAATTGCACTGAATTTGTTAGTTATTTTCCTGTAATTGTCTCTTTAAGCTTTAGATTGAATGTTCATTGTAATAGCATTTTACTTTTCTGATTAATATAAAGAAAATCCAGATTACTGGGCCAAATCTCATGTGTGCTGCGTTTATATTATGATATATTTGTCCAATCCTATCAACTGGTATCAGAGCACTCCGATCCTTGGGGTGCTTTGAATGGTTGTTACTCGTACAATGGATAATAGATGGGAAGGAGTAGAGGAACGGCTACGAAGGATTGAGGCCCTCGCGGAGGAGCGTCATGAGCGAAATGACCAGAGGCTAGATGAAATCTTAACCCTATTACAGCACAACCCACGTCATAGCAAGCGTCCTATCAGAGACACCAGCCCTCGTCGCGGACGATCTCGCCGGCGTAGCACTGAATCGACGAATTCAGATTGGCGAAATCCGATTGCTGAGGCTCATGGCGACAGAACCTCGCGTCATCCTAGATTGGAGATCCCTCGTTTCTCTGGAGAGGATGTATACGCGTGGGTTATCAGGGTGGAACGCTATTTTTTGATTAATGCAATACCTGACCATGCGAAGGTTGATGCGGTCATGGTGGTCCTTGATGGAGCAGCCTTAAACTGGTTCTTCGTCTGGGAAAAGGGTAATCCCAATGGGGCATGGGAGGATTTCAGGGTTGACGTGATGGATCGTTTCCAGTTGGAACTCACCGGCAGCCCATATCAGGAGCTTATGAGCCTCCGGCAGATCGGAAGTGTTGCCGTGTTCAGGGCTGAGTTTGAGAGGATCATCAGTCCTATTCGCTATGCTGATGAGGAAATGCTTAAAGAGATTTGGTTGCATGGGGTACACGGCAGCCTCCGAACGGAGCTCATGCAAGCTGAGATTGTCTCCTTATCCGAGATGATGAGGAAGACGATGAGCTTGGAGCGCCGTAATTATTCGTGGGTGACGGATGGGTTTGGTGTGGGGTGGAATAATAGGGGACTGGGATCGGGCCGCCCAACTCAGCCCAATAAGAATTTCGTAACTGGGTCACAGGCTAAAAGCCCAATAAGTGGGCCGCACAACTCCACTAGTCAGAACCCAACGCCAGGTGTTGACACACGTACATCAATCGCCGCCCAAAACGACACGCGTTTTGGCTTGGGCAACCCTACGCGTTCTAATAACGTGGGGAACGAAGAAGCTGCTAGAACATTTGAGGCCTCGGGGAGTAGCAACGTCAGGAGCAGTGGCAGGCTCAGTCAGGCGGAGCTCCACGATCGGAGCCGTCGCGGCCTTTGCTTCAAGTGTGGAGATAGGTGGGACCGTAACCACCGCTGTAGGAACGCTCAACTTCAGTTGTTGGTGGTTGAGGAGGATGAAGAGTTGGACGAACCGGAGACTCCTCCGGATCTGGAGGCACGAGCGACGGAGCAGCCCCAGATCGCAACGGAGACATTGCAGCTGTCGGTTTACAGCGTGCTAGGGCTTTCTTCAAACCAAAGCATGCAACTATAGGGCACGGTGAATGGTGAACGAGTGTCTATGCTATTTGACAGTGGGGCAACTCACAACTTTGTCAGTCGGCAGGTTGCTGAAAGGCTAAGGTTACCTATTGAAGACTCATACAGCTTCAAGGTGGTTTAGGGGAACGGCCATAAGGTGGGGAGCCAAGGAGTTTGCCGTCAGGTAACGTTGCAAATTCAAGAATTTCATACGAAGATTGATTTGTTTGTTTTTGATTTGGGAGGGGCAGAGGTGATTTTGGGGATGGAATGGCTGAGAAGTTTGGGGGAAATCACAGCTGATTTCAACAAACTGACGTTGAAATTCAACACAGAGGGAGACGAAATGGTGCTGAGGGGCGACCCATCTCTTTCTCGCACAGGAGCATGGACTTCTTTTCGGTCCATGGTGAAGACCTTAAAGGACAAAGGCCACGGCTGTCTTATCGAGCCTCAGTGGGTTCATAGTGGTTCTGACTGGAAGGAGTTGTCAATGCTGTTGGCTGAATATGAGGACGTCTTCCAACCAGCACAGGGCTTGCCCCCCCATCGTCATCAAGATCATGCTATTGAGTTGAAACCAGGGAGTGGGGTACCTAACATACGTCCCTACAGGTATCCATACTATCAAAAGTCTTTGATTGAATCCTTGGTTTCTGAGTTACTTCATGCAGGGATGATCCGCCCTAGCATCAGTCCGTATTCTAGTCCGGTAATCTTGGTGAGGAAGAAAGATGGAAGTTGGCGAGTGTGTGTGGACTACAGGGCTCTCAACAAGCTCATTGTGCCTGACAAGTTTCCT